CCCCAAAACCCCAAAACCCCATTGGTTAATATTAATTATTAATGTTAATTTGGAAATAGATAAATATACTATAAATACTCTTAATTTATTGTTAAATAAGTAATGGAAAAAACAGAGGAAGGGGATAAAATAATCACATTTTAAAAGACTAAAGCTATTGAAAAAGCTGAAAAACTAAAAATTAAGAAAGAAAAGAAGATGAATAAGAAAGATTAATGCAAATATTATATGACTATGAAGAACAGAATGTGCGGGTAGCCATTATTCAAAGAAAGCTAATAATTCTGCAGATTTCATTTCGGTAAGTGTCATTTCTCAATTCATAAAACTGATTAGTAAACAAAAATAATAGTTGAGGAAGAAAGCAAGGATGAGAAAGTAGCATGTCCATACGAGCCAAAGTACTTTATACCTAAATCTAAATTAGAGGAACATCTTAAAAGATGCCCAAAGATTATTCATCAGTAAGTCAAATTATCAAGGCTAGACTAGTAATTAAAATATAGGGCTTAATGCGAGGATAAGCCTTGGTTTAATAAGTTTGTAAACATTATGAATAAGAAGTACATAAGAAGTGACATACCAGCCTAGTAAGAAAATGACTAAGATTCTGATATGCTTTAAGAGTAAGAGCCTACTTTGCAAAAGTTTAGCTTAAAAGACATTGAATTTGATTTGAAGGACTAAATTATTGAGAAAATTGAAAGAGTTTATAAGTAATTGAAAGAGTAGAACAAAGACAACTAAAGTTATGTTCAGCTATTTTAGGTAGATGAGATAGTAAACAGATTTCAATAATTATAAGAGGAATTGTAGCTGCAGGGAAAGTATGAAGAACTAAGTGAATTTTACAAGCATTCTAATTAGTAATCCAAAATAATAGTAAGCTTCATTCTTATCAATAATTTTAGGACTTAATGGTTAATCATAAACTAATTTAAGAAGCAGGAAAATAAACTGAGGAATTTTTATATCTTGAATATGGGGCTGGTAGAGCTGGACTATCTTCTTATGTAGGCAAAAAGCTGAAAGACCTTAAAAACTTCGATAAAAATTGCTTCCTTATTGTTGACAGAGATACCAGAAGATTTAAGCTTGATAAAGAAATAAAGGACGAATTTAGATGCTATAGAGAGAAAATGGATATTGCTCATTTTGATCTTAAAATTTTTTCAAACAAACACACAGCTAGTGAGGCTTAAGTGGAATAAAAGCAATTTAATTTGAAATAAGAAACGAAAATTATATCTATTGCTAAGCATCTATGTGGGGGAGCAACAGATTTAGCGCTAACAAGTTTACAGCTTTAACCCTCTGATAATCTTAGAGGAATAAGCATTGCTACATGTTGCCATCATTGTTGTGATAATGCAACTTATGTAAATCCAAAGTTTATTTAGGAAATCGGCTTTGAAGACAGAGAATTTTAAATTTTGCCAAGGATCACTAGTTGGGGAGTTAGTTAAAGAGTCAAATTCAGAAAGAAGAGAGTTGGCTTAAAAGTAAAAAGAATACTTGAGTATGGAAGGTGCTTATTTATTGAGCAATAATTAGGTATGAAGGTTAATATATATTAATATTGTGATCCTATAACTGAAAGTCCCGAAAATACTTTGATACTAGCTGTGAAGCTTAGCTAATCTGAACATTCTTAATTAAGTTTAGATACAGGATTAAATTAATGAGATTAATTTTTAATTCTTAATTAAATAATTTTATAAATATTATCAATAATGTCATCACGCAGACTTTCTGATTTTAACTCTGTCAAGATCTCTGATAGTATTAAGAAGCGTTCTAAATCTCCAATTGAGCCTGAAAAACCTAATTACATGAAAGCTTTTCTTACTTAATTGTAATAAGATCCAGAGACCTATTAACTCTTTATTGAAGAGGCAAAATAGTGAGGCTTGTACAATTAGAAAATTATTTATAATCAAACCCTGGAATATGCGAGAAAAGACTATTATAATAATGTGATTGCAAAAGATAACAAAACTTTTGAAGTAAACAGAGATGAGGAAACTAAAAAATTTATTCTCTACAGAGAGAAAGAAGTCACAAGAAAAGAGAGAGTCAATATGCATATGGAAAGATTACTGGAACCAGCAGAGAAGCAGTTGTATAATTTCGAAGCCCCTAAGTAAGAAGAATTCCCATTAGCTTTCGCAACACATTAAATCACCAATTAGAAAAAGAAGTCAGTTGATTAAGCCCATAAAAATTTCAATCTCAATGATTTCTTAAGAAGACAATTCGCTGAAAGTAGACCCAGAAGAATAAGATAGGATGCATCCATGGAAATGATTTAAGGCTAGGGTTAATCTAGAAATTAATACAATATAAAGCATCCTGGTGGGAATCAGGGCTACCTACCTTTAATGCCTTTGACAGCAGCTAATGTTTAAAAATTTGAAACACTTAACAAGGATTATGCTGGCCCTGTAGATCTCGGTTTTAAGATTGACAAAGAATAGTCATTATATAAATCAAATTAGCCTCAATCCATCAAAGAAAAAACAGCTTTGGTTGAGCAATCAGTAAGGAATGTTGCTAAAAGTATTAGACCTTTATCAACTAAAAAGGTTAAAACAATAAGAAAAAGTGATAAAAATCGGAAAAATAAAAATGATGGCAAAGATGAAAACCTACTCTTGTCGAGAAGAAAAAACTAAAATGATGAATTTGAGATTAAGATTGATAGAGAAGATGAAAGACTTATAAATCATTTTTGCGCAATGTGCCAGGAAAAGAATCTTAAGAAAGCCAAACTAACCAGGGGGAAGTTCAAAGCATTCCTATCTATTTACTACAAGGGAGCAATGACTGATAAGATTATAAACTACTTTGATCCATTCTTCCGAGATCCAATGGATTTCTACTTCTTCTGTGATGTGTTTGAAAGACTTATGAATCCTTAAAATGCAGATAAAATTAAGAAAATGGTGCATTAAATATATGACTTCAATGATGATAAGTTCATTGATGAACTGGATGTCTATTGCTTTATGAATGCTTTTGAGCATGATAATCCTGAAATATTTATGAGAGTCTACATGGAAGATGTCATTAAGATTATCTAGGGCATTGAAAATAAGAAGAAACTAAAAGGGTTCTAGAATAGAGATATGGATCTGAAGTTGTAGTAGATCAATCAGAAAGTGAAGATGGCTGAGAAATTAGCAAAGAAGGATTTAGGTGATATTTTGAAAAAGAATTTATTAAAAAGCGGCGATAGAAGTCATGAAAACTAATCACTGAATAGAGATGAATCAGCAACAGAAAACGAGGATGAGGATGAAGAATCAGAGGAAGACTCTCTAATTTAAGAGCTATAGGGAGAAAAGGAAAAAGCTCTAAAGAAGTCTAAAACTAGGAGAGGGGGAGAAAATGGTTCGTAAGGCTCTAATAAAACATTTAGAACTACCAGAACTACTAAGACTACAAAAACTTTAAAATCTAACAAGCCAAAATCAGAGGGTTCTGTAAGATCAAATAAAACTACTCGCACTGTTAAATCATTGAAATCAAAGATGAGTCGTAAAAATACTTAAAAGAGTTCTAGGAGTAAAAGATCTAATAAGTCAGGGAATTAATCAGTAGGTGACGAATCAGACAATGATAATCCTCACTACAAGATCATAGGCAAATAGTTTGTTATTGGAATGAAAAAGAACAAAACTTATATAGAGAAATTAACCTTTGGCGATTTTAAGATGATTTAGTTCAAACATGGAAATTTACCAAAATTTGCCTTGGATTTCTTTAAGTATGTATCTTTATTTGACATTGAGGCATACTATAATAATAAAATCGAAGCCTAAAATGAAAAACCCAAACCATTACCTAACGGAGTATAAGTGATTTCCAAAAAAGACGAATTTGAAAATCAGATCATAGAGGGAATAGACATGTGGAAAAATAGACTAGATGAAAAACAATTCTCTAAGATATTCCGAGGATTCTAATGCTTATGTAAGAAAAATAACGATGAGGAAAATCCCAAAGATGAGCAAGTCAAGGAACATCAATTTTTCTTGACAGAATAAAGTATGTAGAGAAATTTTCACAAATTATTTGGCTATAAGAATGACTTCCTAGCATCTAGAATCTACCTAATAATGTCAGGCAACATCAAAGACAAGAGGATATACTTTCCTTAATATATAAAGACATTAAATCCACTAATAAACGGAATTGAATACCTTAAGTAGAGGTTTATATTCTACATCTATGATCTAGATTGTGATAGCATTATTGGAGGGACAGATCTTGTTTAAATTTACGAAAGTATAATTCCATCATCAATCATAGGATCTGAAATAGGAATATTAGTTAAGCATTATGTAAATACCAGATTAAGAGCTAGATTTAAGAGAGATGCTGATGTTATAGGCCTTATCAACTTCAATTTCTTGATCATGAGATCATGTTTAATAGATGAACTTAAGACTAGACTAGTATCAAAGCCTGGTAAGGAATGGAATTTTAGTGTGTTTTAACCCAGAAATATAAATACAGGTAATGACCAAAACGAACTTAAGAAATTGATATATGGTAACTTGAGGATGTTCAAGCCTATTAGGCATGTGCAATGGGTTGGATTACCTCCAATTGAAGAAGATGAAATTAGAGCTGCTTAAAGGAAAATGATGAAAGATGCTCCTAAAGGTGTCGAATAGTTAAATGACCCTGGAGATTAAGAGACGCTTGAAGAAGAATAGCAGTAACAGGATGCTTAGTTTAAACGTCAAGACTCATTGAAGAAAAGTGGTAAGAGTGGTACTGATGGTAAATAATCCTTGGATAAAAGTGGTAAGCCTAGCCTTAATAAGAATAGCCCAGAAAAAACATCAGCCTTAAAGCTGATTAAGACTAAGCTTTCAAATAACCCTATGACTTCTCAATCATCAACAGCTAAAAGAAATAGCAACAGAGATAAACTTCCTACTATTGATTAGAAAGGGTTCCAATCAACACAGAAAATTCAACATAATCAATCCCTTTCCTAACAAAAGCCTTTATCGAGATCAAACTCTAAATCTCCTCTGAGGAAATTATGACTTTATTTGAGTAAGGTATTATTTAAAAGCACTTATTATTTTTATTCTTAATTTCATCAATTCAGTAGAAATATAGCCTATGGGGTTTTGGGGTTTTGGGGTTTTGGGG